TGAACAAGGTAACCTCCTGCTGATTTCCATGTACCCCCAACACCCCCTCCCCCCTCCCTCCCCCCCAGCTGTAGATGCATCTGTCCTTGACATATTGGTAGAAGTGACCATTGCACAGACATTGTGGAGACAAAATCTCATCTTCACAATGAGTTTACCCTCCATTGTAATGTGTAGCTAAACAGGATAGACTTCAAACAGATTTAAGCAACTCAACACTTGGCCTCCATGAGGCACTGTCACTGTTAGCAGCAACAGAATTAAACTCAAACACAATCTGTAGCCTTGTCACCTAGCATTTTCACCATTCTATCATTACCATCAAGTCAGGTGATAAACCCTGGTTCAATGAAGAGTGCAGAAGGATGTTCCAGGACCAGCACCAGGCAAGCCTAAAAGTGAAGTGCCAACCTGGTGAATTACTGGTGAAACTCAGCAGGTCTGGCAGCCACTGTGGGGAGGTCATTTGAAACTTACAGAATGCTGAGAAGCCTGGATTGAGTGGATATGGAGATGTCTCCACTAGTAGGAGATACTAAGACCCAAGGGTAATTCTCAGAGTGAAGGGATGATCCTTTAAAACTGAGATGAGGAGGAATTTCTTTAGCCAGAGGATAGTGAATCTGTGGTACTCATTGCTGCAGAGGGCTGTGGAGGCCAACTCATTGAGTGCCTTTAAGATAGAGATAGATAGGTTTTTGATTAGTATGGGGATCAAAGATTATAAGGTGTCTGCAGCTCAGACTTCACCTCATTAGTTCTGAGCTGAAGTTCGTCCAGCAGCCAACACTTGAAGCAGATGTGAGAAATGTGGATTGCACTGCCATTTACCAGGTCCCATATAATACAGCTGCAGCACACCACCTGCCAACCACTTCTGTTCAGTTAATTAATTTGGATGTTAAGATCATAAAAAGTAGGAACAGGAGTAGGCCATTCAGCTCCTTAAGCTTATTCTGCCATTCAATGGGATCATAGCTGATCAGATATTCCTCACATCCATTTTCCTGCCCTTTCCCCATAACCCATGATTTCCCCTTACTGATAAAGAATCTCAGTCTTAAATATACCCAAGCACCTGATCACCACAGTTCTCTGTGGCAAGGAGTTCCAAAGACTTTCAACCCTCTGAGAGAAGAAACATCTCCTCATTTGAGTCTTAAATTGGCACTCCTCTGGTCCTAGACTTTCCCATGAAGGGAAACATCCTCTTAGCATTTAAGAATCCTATACATTTAAATAAGTATATTCAAATGGTGGATTTCTTAACTGTGCTCTTACTAGATTTTAGATTTTATTGTCATGTGTACTCAAGTACAGGAGTACAGTGAACAGTGTATAATGTCACCACACATGGCACCATCTTAGGTAGCTAGGAAGTAAAGTAGCAAGAGAAACAAGAGTTAAAAAGTTAAGCATCACTTCATAGAGTAGTAGAAAAATAAAGAAATAGGTAATAGTTTACATTAAAGTCTTTCGTAGTTTAAACTAGGAAAATAAAGGAATAAGTTAAAAGTTCAACGGTCTTTGAAGAGTCCTCAACTTATCATACTCTGCTATCTGTTCTCAATGCTGCAGGTACCATCGCTGATATAACAAGGTGTAGAGCTGGATGAACACAGCAGGCCAAGCAGCATCAGAGGAGCAGGAAAGCTGACATTTTGGGCCTAGACCCTTCTTCAGAACAGCTCCGATCTTCCCTGGTATCTCAAACATGCCTGGCCAGGATCCATTTGCATGCTGTGAGATAATATGTCCTGATTTAATCCAATTGTTTAATCGAAAGTGAATGGTGGATATTTCTTGCATGTCCTGTCTGTTGTCATGTGATGTCACACATTGGCCCTTACAGGAAGAAACAAGTTGAAGGGACTCCCTGCAAATGGTTTGTCTTTAGTTGCTATTGCACTTCTAACACAAGTCTGTTCTTCTCTTTATGAAGCTTCTGATCCCTCTCTGTTTAAAAAACTGATGACTTCATTCTCTTGCTATTATGAAGATGCAGTCCCCACTCTCTCTTGCGCTACTTCAGAAGCGCACACCCAATACTCTTCTATGCTTAGTGATACTTGCTGCACACTTCACCCAGTTCAGTTCTAAAGGCAGAAGTAAACAACCCCTGTAAACAACCCCTGCCCACTTCATTTTTGGCTTTGCTCCAACATCTTCCTGCTCTATTTCTGGGCTACAGCTTCAGCAGAAGAATATGTAGAAATATATGGAGGCTATTCATACATTGCTCAAAAATCAACCTAAGGAGGAATCATCTATCCTGGAAAAAGAATCCTTGTAGCTGTTGCATCTCCTTCCTGCTGATGCACAATAACATCATCCTCCCTCGTTCAGGGGAAGAAAATTCTTGAGGGAGTTCAAAGAGGCCATCCTCCACTTACCTAGCCATTGGAATGAAAGCATTCATGGCTTGAGCAATAGAGTGAAGGTCCCGCTGCATATCCAGCAAATTCTGATTGTTCTTCTAGACAGTTCTCCATAGCAGCCACAGCTCATTCCATGGAAGCAGTCAAGTGTAATGCCCAAGCAATAATAATGGCCAGACTCCTCTTCCCTTCACTCCAGATCACCTATAGGTCCCCTTCCTAAGAATCTGTCCACCTTTGTCTTAAAAAAATATACAATGACTCCACCTCCACTGCTTTCTGAGGCAGAGTTCCAAAGTGCATAACACTTAAAGTAAATTTCTCCTGAACTCTGTCCTAAAAGGGTAACTCTTAATTTTAGAGTTTTACCCCTAGTTCTTGACTGACCCACAAGAGGAAACATCTTTCCAATGTTCACCAAGTCAAGACCATTCAGGATCTATGAAGTCAGTTATTCTAAACACCAGCAAAAACAAGCTCAGCCTGTCTAACTGATAAGATAATCCACTCATTCCAGATATTAATCCAGTAAGTGCATTGGAGCGGTCCAACGAGGTTTACATCCTTTCTTAAATAGGGAGGCTAAAACTGCTCAAAGTACTTATGATGTATTTAGAAAAGGCAGCTCAATTGAAGTATATAAAATTCTGAGAGTTCGAGGGTGGATGTTGAGAAAATGTTTCCTCTTATGGGAGAATCTAAAACTAGGGGTCACTGTTTAAAAATCAGGGGCTACCCTTTTAAAGCAGTAATTTAAATAGGAGTTATAACCTAATCACAAGTCACAGAATTCAGGACATAAAAGCAAACATCTGGAAAGCAATGGATAATATTTAGACAATGTTTGTAAGTTAGCATCAGATCAAGAAAGGATTTATGTACACATTTATTACTTTGACTTTAACTGAAATATGCATCATTGTCTTTATAGACCTGAGAAAAGATCACCAGTAAATACATGTAACAGTTTGGTTCATAAGTTACATAAATATCCTAAAAGGTAGCTAATTTGTAAATATATAATAAACAGATAATAAATTAGTGCAAAAAAGTTACATTCAAATGAAAATATACGACAAGACAACTTTCATGGAAATGTGTAGTAATAGTGTCCTCTGCTAGTTTCAATGGAAATGCAGATAGTGAGCCAACAACTCTAACATGAGCATTGGCAGTTGAGGGGTTTTTACTGCATGTCACCATCCCACTCAGATTAACTTTTTTTAAATTCTTGTCAAAGGAAGAAAGATCATCTCAGAGTCAGAACTATCTTCCTTTGAAGGAGAAAGAATTACATTGTTGTGACATAGCAATCTATATCAACAGATTTTTTTTCCAAGAGATCCTCAACTACAACTTATGCAAGCCAAAGAGATTCCTCTCCAGTATCTGTGCACTTAGTGGAGATTCCCCAAATCTATCTTTGTGCATAAAATAAGGTCACCTTGTTATACATTACCAAATCATCAAGAAAATAGATAACAGCTGTTAAGAATACTCGACTGTCATACTAGATCTGAAAGTAAAAAGACCTCAGGATGCAAAGGTTGATTTGTCTGAATTTTCTATCTTATGAGACCACATGTGTTTTTTGGACAATGGATTGAAATTGAGAAAAATTGGACACTGCTTTAAAAATATAGGAGAATAGAAAGATCTTTTTGCTTTTGGAAAAAATGAGTGAAGCTAACTGGTGCATATAAAACAACATTACTTTTGGGGTCGCTATACCCAGACAAAGGAGTGCCATCTGTGTGTGTTTGTTGCAATTGTGCCCAGACACAATCTTTAGATTGGCTTTTTAATTGGTACAGTTGTTAAAGGCTCAGGAGAGCTCAGCATAGCAACAGGCCCCTGATTGATCAGGTTGTCGTGTAGTACAGACTGAGGGGAGTGAAAACAGAACAAAGCCCCAAAAACCCAGATTTCTGTTCCTTTGCTGTGAAAAATATTGACCTCTTGATTTTCTACAGGAAAACAAAGTCCCCTGAGTCCAACCAAGCAACTAGTGAACTAAAGACTGATCATCTCTGTGCAAATAACATCAACGCATCATCTAAAAAAGGAGAACCAGTTCATCTAGTTATGATTTTGGACCAGTGATACAGAACTATGCTGCTGTTACTTTTCTTCTCTTGTCCCTTTTTCCTTGTGTCTGAGTTTTATATGCATAAAATGGAAGTTACATATTAGAAATCTTGAGTTTTTACTGTTCTTGTTTAAGATGTACAAGATTAGCAATTTACTATTTACACAATTAACACTCACCACAACATGAACCCTCTCAAGCTTCCTTATGTGGAATCTTAGAGTCACTGTTCTGTGCTACTGTGGTTACACATTAGGCTATGTTTTGGTAGAATAGCCTACCGACACATGTTGCTCTATTAGACTGCCTTTTTTCATTCACAGCACTGAATGTTTGGTAGTTCTTTGCCTTGTGATTAGCTAATGCTTTCTACCCTTTGAGAATAAGGACTGCAGATATTGGCTGCATTTCTAGTCTCTATAACTGGACTTGGAATGGTGAAGTCTATTTGTAGGAAGTTTAGGAATCCATTGAGAATTTAATGTGGTTTCTTCTTCTCCTGAACTTGGAACAAACTTGAAACGAACACTACATTTCAAAACAGTACAATTCAGTGTGCTTTATACAAGTATTTCACCTCTTACAAAACAAAAGGTTATGTAGAGAATCCCAAATTTGGGAATACCATAATCTGAATATCAGACAGGGGATATAATAACATGCCCAATAAACTGATTGAACCACTGCATAGCAAGGACTAAACACTCATATATAGTAAAGAATGTAGTGAGATTAAAGCATTAAGTCCCTTCATGCAAAAACGTTTAGATTCAAACAGGCTGACAATAAGAAAATTAGGTAATGATAAATAACCAATATCTGTAGCATTGGCACAACCCATGAATCATAGACAAATTATTCAGCGTTTGTTAAAGTGCAGTCAGTTGCATGGATTGTAGAAAATCTAGCTTTCTATCAAGAAAGCTCCAAAATATATATGTTCAATATCTGGCATGACATTGTCCTCCTGCTGCAAACCTTCAATTTTGGCTTGCATGAAACCCTTACTTGAGATTTGCACTAATGTGCCAGAGTACCCAAAGGCAACCAGTTGCTCCTGTTCCTGGGATACTTTCATCTCTGTACTCAGTATAGATGAGCAGACATTTTCAATGCAGTGGGTAATATCTAACTTGACTGGTGAACTGTTCTTGCATTCATTTACAACAGAGCAGTACACTTTCAGCTTTGCATACACATAATACATCCCATCTCTGGTGGTCTGTAACTTCTGATTTTCAAAACGGAAACCACTGCCCAAATGGTTCCATCCAAGCCCGGGAGTGGTTGACCATCTTACTGTTTTGTTGTGATCTGGTGAAAGAATTGAGATAGGCAGAATAAATGACTTTGCTTCAGTTAATAAACATCTCCAAATATATAACTTGCCTTTATATGTTTAGATGTTGGCCGAGTACACTTACTAACATTCGCTACCCAAAATTACACATTAAAAGTCATCAGGTACATAAAGTGTCAAAGGGATATGGAAATGGTAAAACTCCTTTCATTTTAAACAATATCTTTACCTCAAACCTCTTATTTTTGTGAAAAACACTTCTTCAAAGTTTTTTCTTTCTTGTAATGACAACAGTCAATGCATATGAGCTGCAGTTTCACTAGTTACAAAAAGGTAAAGAACTGGCCTCATAATTCAAATGCAGCCCAGTGTCTTAGCTCCTCTTTATAAGCCCTTTGAGTATCAAATGCATTATTTCACTTTCATTTATTTTTGTTTCTTTATTCATTAAGATCAGAAATAGAGTAAGGACCCCCTACACTCTTCCATCAAACTCTGAAGGTAGATGCAGCACAAGTTGGGTACATAGGTCAGTGTAAAGGGATCTTTACTATCAAAAACTTCCACTGAGGTGTTGCCAACTTCCTGTTGTATTTTCATGTCTAGACTTGTTACACACTTAGAACATTTATTTTAAGAATAATTAAAAATACACTTACCAAATTCAGCTAATATGTGTACAGCAAACTGTAAAATAAACAGGTTAATTGTTAGGATGATACCATCAAATCTTTGCATTTACTTATTCGGTCACATCCTGTATCCATTATAACAAGGTGTAGAGTTGGATGAACACAGCAGGCCAAGCAGCAGAGGAGCAGAGGAGCAGAAAAGCTGGCGTTTCGGGTCTGGACCCAGAAATCTGAAGATTTCTGAAGAAATGTCAGCTTTCCTGCTTGGCCTGCTGTGTTCATCCAGCTCCACACCTTGTTATCTCAGATTCTCCAGCATCGGCAGTTCCTACTATCTCTGTATCTATTAGATGGTATTTTTTCCTCAACAATGGTAGTTGAGAGAGTAGTGCTAGTTGTTTGTTTGCATTCCCCTGTACACAAATTAATACGTTTATCTATATATTTGCTTTTAGGCAAGAATGTAGCCTAAATGGTAATGTCACTGAACTAGTAATCTAGGGACACAGATTCAAATCCAGTTGGTGAAATTTAAATTTAATTAATAAATCTGGAATTGAAAACTAGACTGATGGTGATCACAAAACCATTATTGTTGTTAAAAACTCATCTAATTCACTACTGTTCTATAGGAAAGGCAATCTGCCATCATTAGCCAGTCTGGTCTGCATTTGATTCCAGACCCATGGCAACGAGGTTGACTCCTAACTGCCCTCTGGCTCTCTAAGCCATTTCAAATCAGTTAGAAGCCATTTGGGGATGGCCAACAAATTTTGGCTTTGTATACGATGCCCACATCCCATGAAAAGAATAAAGAACAGAATGCTGTCGTGAAATGGACAACTTCAAGTACTATCTTAATCAGTTGACAAATCTGTGTGAAACAACAAAGGAACATGGGGACAGAACACAAAAATGATTATAACTCTTTGCTGACAGATAAATAGTTTATTTGGATGATCTACCCCAAGTATATTTTATTCCCCTCAGAAAACAAACAACTGTATGTAACTACTTTCCTGCATTTGCAACTGTTCTCCTTCAGTTCAACAGTCCTGTATGTAGAAATTAGAAACCATTCAAATCTGCATAAAAATCTCAAACTGAGTATATTCAAACATGAATAGGAATAGCAGCGGAATAATTGAGCCTAATCTGCAATTCTGTATAGTTATGGCTGATCCTGGGTTTCAACTCTATTCTCCTGCCCATTCTTCCCATTACCCCTGGATTCCCTGAACATTAAAAATCAGTCTCTCAAGACATTCAATAATGAAGCATCCACACTATGAGGGGGTAGAGAATTTCACAGATTCATCAGCCCATCCATTGAAGAAATTTCTCCTCAACTCAGTCCTAAATTATTTACTTAATTTAAAATTATACCCTTGTGTTGTAGATTCTTGAGCCAGATTAAGCAAACTCTTTGTATCTCTCCACCCCCTTCAGAATTTTCTGTTTCAATGAGATCACCTCACTCTTCTAAACTCACCAGCCAAAGGCTCAATTTACTTAGCCTTTCATTATTGGAAACTGGCTGGTGAACCTTTACCATCCTGCTGATAATGCAAGTATATTATGTCCTAAAGTATGGAGAGCAAAACTACACAGTTGTGGTCACAAAGTCTTGTACAATTGTAGACTTCCTTACTTTTGTACTGCAGTTCCCTTGAAATAAAGGGCATTCTGTCTCTCCCCTCACCTGGTTTCCTTGTTATTGAATCACCTCACCAAGATATCCCAGAGGGGAAAAGGAGAAAAGCAAGCCCCAAGACCCATCTCAGCTGGTATGGAATTGAACAATTGTTGTGAAGCATCCCTGTCTTCCCCAATTCGGTCTTGGCCTCCTCAACAGTACTTGCCTTCCTAAATACCTGCTAAATTTCTAATTCATTGTACTCCAATCCCAATGAACAGCAACATTTACATTTTTCACTCCTTTTGGAAAGTATTCTGCTTTTATTCTCACCATCTCGGTGCATGTGACAATAATAAATCATATGAATTCACCGAAGCGACAAACTTCAGCTGCACCTTTCGGCTCACTCACTTGTCCCTATCTCTCTCAAGCTTCCTCACGTCTATCGTTCCTCCCTAGTTTTGTACGATGAGCAAACTTTAGATACACCAGTGTGTTTTGTAATCTGGTTACTAATTGTCAAAGCCTGCCAACATGAAAATATCTCGTTTTTCCTCTTCGTTTGTTTCGTATCTTTTAACCAATCCTCTGGAAACAGTTGTGGCGATTTAGGGGGTTCATTCGTTTTCCGTGCCGCCTGGAGAATTATGTTCCCCTTCAGTACCACTCCGCTGCACCATATTTTTAACTAAAACAAGAAATGCTGACTCATGTTAGGCAGCATTAGGATTAAATGCAGATAGTGAAGTGTGAAGAGTGAAAAGGGATAAATTCTAAATCAAAGAAAGGAATTTCCCCGATAATGTGACTTAAATCCGATAGAGGTAGACAGAAATTAACATGTTCTTACTTTGTCTCCAGTTCCCTTGTTCTCCGCAGTCAACTTGGGAAAGAAGAATAGCCAAAAGGCGCAGACAAGGGATGCGATGATGAAGAAAAGTAGCAACACGGAGACGAGCAGGACTGCCAGCAAACGGCGCTCACACTGGCTCGGTTCCTTGCCTCTGTCTAGTTCCCAACTACTCAGGGTCTGACTCACGGTCACTTCGCTCAAATCCTCTTTCTGTGACATGACCTCAGCGTCACGCGTTCTCACTTCGTTGTAGATCCGCTCCCTGGAGAGGGATGTGCTCGCTCTGAAGCCGGATACTTTCTCGGGCCCCTTTTGTTTCATTAAAAGAGGAAGTTTCCGTGATGACAGAATCCATGAGTTGGACTTCCCCGGGGAGGAGGTGCCGTTTCACTAACAGAAACTGTCCAGGATTCACCCGATAAAGCGGAGAGAGGAAACGGGGGCGGAGGAAAGGCGACAGTCAGTGGAACGGAGCAAGAATTTAACTGGACAGAGAAAAAAAAAGTGAGAAAAGGAAACATTAAACGAAATAGTAACAGAGGAAGGACGACGAGCATGGAAACTCAACGCATAGAGAAAGAGACATGGCAAAAAGGAAAACTAGTGAAAGAATGAGCAAGTAGTGTCACCAAAGTGACGAGGACACGGAGTGAGACACTGTTACTGACAATAGTGAAACAAACACTAGAGATGTGGAGAGAAACAGATTTAATACAAGACGTCAAGTGACACAGCCAGCACAATGTAGTAAAACAGAGGACACACAGTGAGACACAGGGAAACAGAGAATGGAAAGTTATGTGCAAATTACTGCTACGTTACAGCAGGGACTACACTTAAACTATTGTCTAAAGCATTTTCGGACTTCTAGTGGTCGTGATAATCGCTGTAAATGCAAGTCTTTCTACAAAGAAATAGCCATGCACTCAGACAGGGAGGGTGGACCATCTTCCAAAAGAGGCACACGTCGTGAGACAGGCAGAAGGAAACACCAATTGTGTCAACCATACAAATAGCAGAGGCACTGAGAAAAATAAATGTTGGAGATTTGCAGCAAAGTGATAGATGGAGAGGCCCTACAGAAACAGAACGGGAGAAGGAAATGCTGAGTGGATGAAAAACGTAGATAACTGGAGAAATAAAATACAGGTAGGAGCCCCACCCACCCCCTTCCCGTGACCACCTTCTGCCCCAAGTGTCACAGCCTGTGGTAGCCGTATCGGTCTGTACAGCTACACACAGACTCACCCTGAGAGGGAAACAACTGCCGATGATGATGGGAGAAGACCCATTGGAGTGAACTGATCAGGATTAGATCGTTCCAGGGATTTAGGACGGCAGGGGCAGAAATATCACCTCCCATCCCACAGCTGCAAGCCAACAAGAGGCTAGCAATTGTTTGTCAGTGCCACTAAGTGTGGTGCCTACTGCTGGTAATGCACAAAATAGAGATCCAAGATCAATGAGGGACCCAGGCCACAGGTGAATGAGGGAAGAGGATTGATTCAACAGGCAGCCATTCTCAATGGAACGGCAGGCAGTAGCAGAGTGATAATGTCACCGGGCAAATAGTCTAGAAATCTCTGGGGATATGGATTTGAATCCAGCTCTGGCAGATGGTGAAATTTGAATTGAATAAAAATCTGGAACTGAAGGTTAGCCTAATGTCAGAGTTATAGAGATATGTAGCATAGAAACAGACGCTTTAGTCCAACTCATTCATGCCAACTAGATATGCTAGATTAATCTAGTTCCATTTGCCAGTGTTAGCCCATATCCCTCTAAACCCTTCCTATTCATATACCCATCTAGATGCCTTTTAAATGCTGTAATTGTACCAGCCTCCACCACTTCCTATTGTAACTCAGTCCATACACACACCACCCTCTGAAAATGTTACCCCTCAAGTGCCTTTTAAACCTTCCCCCTCCCCTTAAACCTATGCTGTCTAGTTCTGTACTCCCCCCACCCTGGGAAGAGACCTTGGTTATTCACCCTATCTATGCCCCACATGATTTTATAAGCCTCTATGGTCACCCCTCAGCCTCCGATGCTCCAGGGAATATAGCCCCACCCTACTCAGCATCTCCCTATAGCTCAAACCCTCCAACCCTGGCAACATCCTTGTAAGTCTTTTCTAAATCCTTTGAAGTTCCATAACATCCTTCCTATAGCAGGGTGACCAGAATTGCACACAGTATTCCAAAAGTGGCCTAACCAGTGTCCTGTATAGCTGCAACTTGATCTCCAAACTCCTATACTCAGTGCACTGACCAATAAAAGCAAGCATACAAACAGCTTCTTCACTATCCTGTCTACCTGCAACTCCACCTTCAAGCAACTATGAACCTGCACTCCAAAGCCTTTTTGCTTAGCAACACTCCCCATGACCTTCCCATTAAATGTACAAGTCCTACCCTGATTTGCCTTCCCAAAATGTAGCAGCTCACATTTATCTAAATCAACAAAGAATTAACTCTTGTCAACTGTGGTAAAAACCCATCTGGTTCACAAATGTCCTTTAGGGAAGGAAGTAGGACATAAAACTGTACAGCTCAGGAACAGGCCCTTCAACCCATGATGTTGTGCCTAACATGCACCAAGTTAAATTAATACTCTCTACCTGCCCATGGTCCACTTACCTCCATTCCTTGCTTATTCATGTGCTTACCTAAAAGCCCTTTAAACACCCTTATCATATCTGCCTCCACCACAACCCCTGGCAGCACATACCAGGCACCCACATTCTGTGTGGAAAACTTGCCTCTCATCACCTTTGAACTTTCACCCTCACACCATAAATACATACACCCTAGTATTAGACATTTCAACTCTGGGAAAAAAGATTCTGACCATCAACCCTATCTATGCCTCTCATAACTTCACAAATTTTTATCAGATCTCCCCACAGCCTCTGCTGCTCCATAGAAAACAACCCTAGTTTGTCCAACATTTTGTTATAGCTCATACCCTCAAAGTCAGGCAGTATTCTGGCAAACTTCTTCTGCATCCTCTCCAAAGCCTCCACAGAACTGAACACAATATTCTTAAATGTGGCCTAACCAAACTTTTATCTGTCATCCTTTCCTGATCAGGCTTTCATATAGACTCTAGACCCCCAGCAACATGATTGATTCCAAACTGCTCTCTGAAATGGCCCCCAGTAAGCCACTTAGATCAAGAAACCATTATGAATAGCCAATAAAAGATGGCCCAACCAGAGAAGCCCACATCTCATGAAATAATTTTTTAAAAAAATGCCAGGTCACTTGATCAGACATTAAGTACCTTTGGCAAAGGAACCCCAGAAGCCTTCAACACACTCAATAGGATTTGCTTTTTGGGCCCTTCCCACAGTAATGGCCCCATATTTTGCTGGTTGAATACCAGCTGCAATACAATGATGCCTTTAAATGGGCATCAATTGGCCATTTGAGAATTTCAATTAACATCCAGGTGGGAAGGTTGTCGATGATCAGGCAAAGGAGGAAATCCAACAAGGACCCAACCTGCACCATCTTGCAAATTAAATGTCCTCCATATCCAAGATTGGGGCTGGTGCACCATTAGATTTCACCATTTGGGTCTGTTCATCTTTAACTTTCTATTTCCCTCCTCCCACCTCTTTAGCTTAGAAATGATTATTAATGATGCTTTGTTTGTAATTATCACACATATATGAGCAAGGGCAGCATTTGTTGCCTGTTTTTAATTGCTTTACAAAGTGGCAGTGAACTACTTTCTTGAATTGCTGCAGCCCATCAATTGTAGATATTGTTATGATGTCTCCAGGAAGGGAACTCATGGATTTTGATCCAGTAACAGTGTAGGAACAGCTATGTAGCTCCACATCGGTGTGGTATATGGCTTGGAGGAGAGCCTACAGGTAATGATGTTCCCTTGATTCTGTTGTTTTTGTCCTTCTAGGCAGTAGAGGTTATGGGTTGAAGGCACTGTGCAAGGAGCCTTGGAGAGTCTCGTGTATAAAGTGTACACATTGTCATTGTGCACCAGTAAAGAGTGTGAATGTTTATTTTGCTGGAATAGGGTGTTGATAAGTGGACTACTTTGTCTAGATATGTCAGGTTGCCTGAGCATTGGAGCTGCATTCACCTGGGCAAGTCTGGAATATTCTAACACTCTATAGATTTGTATAGATAGGTGGTGGACAAGCTATGGGCAGTCAAGAGGTGAATTATTCACTGTAGAATATCCAGCCTCTGATCTACTGTTATACACGCAATTTTTTTTTTATGGCTGGTACAGCTCAGTTTCTATTAATAATAACCCCCCATGATGTTAAAAGTGGGCATTCAGTGACGATAATGCCACTGAATGTCAAGGGGAGATGGTTAGATACCCTCTTATTGGAGATGATCATTGCCTGGTACTTTTGTGACACTTATTCAAGAAGCACTTGGACAAATACATGAATAGGAAGGGAATGGAGGGATATACATCCTGTAATTGAGTTCAATTTAGAGTGGAAAGTCAAAATGTGGCAGTGCAGGCTTAGATGGCCTGTGCTATATTGGTCTTTGTTCTTTGTTCTTCTTTGTTTGGTCATATGTTGCATACCATTTGTCAAGAAAAGCGTGAATGTTGTCCAGGTCTTGCTGCGTATGAGCATGGACTTTTATCTGAAGAGTTATGAATGGTACTAAACATTATACAATCATGAGCGAACATCCCCACTGCTGATCTCATGATGGCAGGAAGGTCCTGAATAAAGAGGCTGAAGGTAGTTGGGCCTAGGACACATGAAGAACTCTTTCAGTGATGTCCTGAGCCTGAGATAATTGGCCTCCAAAACGTCAACCATCTTTCTTTATGCTAGGTATGACTCCAACCAGTGAAGGACTTTCTCTCTGATTTTCATTGATTCCAGGTTTGTTAGACTCCTTGATGCCACAGTTGGTCAGTTGCTCCCTTGAATTCAAAAGCAATCACTTCCACCTCCCTTCTTGTGTTCAACTCTTTTGTCCATTTTTGGATCAGTCTATAATGAAAGTAGGAGCTGAGTAGCCCTAGTGAAACTCAAAGTTGCGTGTCAATAACAGTCTAATACTGATCAAGACATTGCTGTGTAACTGCTGCTGGTGGCACTGTCATTGATACCTTTCATCTCTTTAGTGATGATTGAATAGAGGGTGACAGATAAAACATGAAAAGGTCCTTTAAGTTCCTTACCTGCAACTTTTATTGGATGTTTTTAACACATTTAAGATAAATAACTACTTAAATTGGTGGTTGAAGAAATAACATTTTAAAAAAATTAATCTCCAGTATTGTAAACAATTTCAAGACTCCTCTATCTACTCCAATTACATCCCTTTCTGTTCATTCCTTTTTTAACTGTCTATCACCTGTGCTTTCCTGTCATTTCCTAATTCACATTCACTTTATTTTCTCTTCTCCAAATCCAATAGTCTCTTTTCTGTCACTTCTGTATATCTGTGTGTCCCTGACTGCCTTGTTTCTGTCTTTTTATTCAGTGTGTGTACCATTCTTTGAATGCCTGTGTTTATACCTCTGTGTCATTCTCTATTTCTTTTGCAGTCATGGTTTCATTTTCTATCTGGATCCTTCCTTCTTTCTGTTTATCTGCTGATGTCTCTATCTATCTTTGTCTAACTCTCTGTTGCACTGTTTCCCAGCTAGCTCATGTTAAAACTTACTTGGTCAAAATTGGGAGGTTAAACTTCATTTCTTATGTCTTTCCTCTCTCCTTTAATGCCCCTTTCCTTTATCTGTTTCCTCCAGTTTCTGATTTTCTATTTATTTGTTTTCTCTTCTCTTGTCCACTTCACGTTATTGCCCTGCACATCTGTTCCTGTTGTTTGTGTGACTGCTTGGGGGATCAGCTCAGTTACTTTCTGTAAATCAGAAAACTCCTAAATGTTTTTATAGAAAAGGGATCCTGGGAATCCCCACAGGAACAGTAAGAGCTGCTTATTTTTAGACACAACTCAGAATTGTGTCATAGCTCTACATGGCTATTTAAGTGGAATTTTTGCCTAATTTTAGCACCACTTTGTTTGGTTAATGTATAGGTTTCGTTATTAATAAAACATAAAATAAATGTAGCTTCTAAAACATGTGAAAGTACTGTACAGACAGGAGAACAACAGAGCTAGAGTGTAAGAGAAAGAGAATGGAGGACAATATGGAGTCAGATGGTGTGTGAGAGAATAAGAGATTTATAGGTATGAAGAGAAGAACAACAGCAAGAACAAGTGGAGAATTAAAGAATGGAAGTAGGAAAAAGGACAAAGAGATCTAGTGGGAGAGAATATAAAATTGAGTTCTTTCAAAACTTTCTTGACCACATTCTAACTTCCACCAAGTCATATTTGATCATCATCCACAGTGCTTACTGCTCTACATTGACTCCCAGTTAAGCAACACCTTGATTTTAAACTCTGCATCTTTGTTTTCAAATCCCTTCACAGACTTAACCCCCACCCCTTCCAGTATTTTCCATAGCCTCCTACAGCTCGATGCTGCTCTAGTTCTGGATTTTTGTGCAGTCTGTTTTTAATTATTTCACATTGGTGACAGTGTGTTACACAGGCTGGTTCCTAAAATCCCAAACATCTTATACAGCTCCATCAGAATGTCCTTGTTCATTTATTCAATGCTTTGGGTAATAAAGGCATGTAGCCCATATGTCTTCTTAACCACCTTATCCACTTGTCCTATTGCTTTCAAGAATCTATGGATATACACATCAAGGTCCTTCTGATCTGCTGTATTTTCTAGAGTCCTACCATTCATTGCGTACTTCCTTGCCTTATTAGTCCTCTCAAAGTGCGTCACCTCACACTTTTCTTGACTAAATTCTGTTTGCCATTGTCATGTCCTTTTGATCAGCCTATTTATATCATCCTGCAGTCGAAGGCTTTCTTCCTTGCTATTTACCACGCAACCAATTTTTGTCTCATTTGTGAACTTACTGGTCATACCTCCTACATTCATATCTAGATCATCAATATGCACTACAAAACAGCAAGGGACACAGCACAGAACCCTGTGCTATGCCACTTATGAAAAGGGATGGGGAGATTACGTACCAGTAAGCACACTAATAATAATCTCCTACTGTATTTGCACAACATGGCTTTTGCTGCAATCACTGAAATGAGGCCCCTATGTCAAAAATAGAGATATTCCATGATCCTCCTTGTCAAGGATTTCCTTGTCCCACTGTATTGAGGAGTATGTTAAAGTCTCAAGAGAAGATACCTTACAAAGATAGAGACGAGGGCTACTCTCTGCAATCGTGCATGTTAGCTCCATTACGCAACACCCTGACCGAGGCCAAATATCATGCAGTTCACTTTGACCAGGGCCATATGGATCAGATTAGAGGTTTGTGGAAGGCGGAGTTTTGATGCTTGGATTGATACGGAGGGGCCTTGCAATACAGTTCAGACAGAGTGTGCTGCATAACTCATGCATGCTGCCCTCTGCACAATGGAGCAGGCAAATTGGGGATGTGATAGATGCTGAAGAGCTGGGAGAGCAGCAGCAATCTTTCAAAGAGCAAGATGAGGGCATTGAACAGGAAGAACATCATCTTCTGGCATGATGGAGCATTGCAGCATCAGGTGCAACAAACCAAACAGGGCTTAATTGATACCCCATCCAGTAAATGAGAGCTGGGTACAGGGATCACTCATTGACTATAAATTTGTTTCTGCTCAAAAGGCAAGTGGTCCCTATTTGAGCTCAGAAGCAAATGCAACTTCTGTTTGCTGTTGCTGAATAGAAGTGAATGTTTTCAACTGTTTGAAGGTTTTCTAGTCCCACGTTGAACAATAAGAAGACAAAAGGCTATATTGGACATTGATGGAAGAGTAGGACTCCCCAGAATGAGTTCTAAGAACTGATGACAATAAGGACAGGTAACCTGTGTAACTTCAAATGAATGTGTATTTTTATTCACAATGAAGTGTCAACCTTGCCATGCATGCGCCTTCCTGCTACGTGTACTGTGAAGGACAACTCCAGGTTGGTAATGCATGACCTGATGTATGCCTAGACTTTAAAAATGGGACTGGGCAGGAATCCCAGGAGGTCCCAGCTGTGTCAAGTATTTCCACTGCTGGCAAGAGGAAAAATACAGGAAAAGCACTGTGGAGGTGTGGTGCATAGCTAATGAAGTGAGTTGCGGAAAAGAGAGAGAGAAAACTCGCTGAGCCTCAGGGAGAGAAACCCTACT